CTTTGCTTAGAAAGCCCTGGCTCTGGCCGGTGTCCTACAAGTCAGCCTGCCAAGGCACTCCCGATCGTTCAGTGGTCCACCACGTTGGGCTTAGGTTCTTCTCGCCTTCTCTCAGGACCCCATACTTGACGAAAGCCTTTTTCACCTGCCGCGGCACCCATGATCGCTCAGGTTCCGTCTCTACTGGCCTCGGTATCTTAGCCTTAGAGCAATTGTCGAATATGTGGCGATGAATTTTTAAGCGCAAGTTTCGAACATGATTTTACGTTTCGCCGACGTCGTATGTGCTATTTCTGTTTTTTATTCATGCCACTAGTTAGACTTGTGCGTCACGTTCTTAATGCATTTTAAATGCAAGGATGTTTTGTACTCCTTCATAACAAAGCGAAACCTACACTAGTCATCACCTGTCAGTTGATTACATCGGTCAGCTGGCAAGCTGCAAATGAGCCAAGAATCCAGTTCGAGCTTGATTTATCAGCTTTCTTTAGACAGGTATGACATTTTGCCTCAAAACTTAGCCTTAAAATGACAGAATTCGCCATGATCTCGATGAAATGAATAAGTTTCATGTTCGTATGTGATAAGCTTCATGCACGTCTTGTTTTTTAGGGCCTCGCACAAGATGAATTTCCTTTAAAAAAATGACTTGTGAATCTTGAAATTTAATGGCGAATGCGAGGATGTTTTAAAGGGGCTTCTAACTCTAGGGGCCCGAAAACGTTGCGTCCCCACCTTGTGATCCTGAGTTCGCCCCTGTATCTCCAGCCCCTGCCGACACGCGCACGCTGTGATGGTGCAATGTGTTTGATCTGTGAAAAGAGGGCAGGCGAGCGGGGTCGCAAGGGCGAGTCCAGGCGCAGAGAATGAACGTGCGGCATGGTACTGAAGTCGTGAGAGAAGACGGTCGCCGCCTCTGGAGCCGACAGGCCAAGATAAATAATGGGGCCGGGCCGTGTTATCGGGTAGCTGACTGTACTCAGGCGAGACCGTGTCTGACTGCGTATGACAGATATCAAGCACAGGGCCGCACTACATCCAGCTACAGGTTCAGCCTGACGGAGCAGGGCCCGCTAGCTCACTGGGATGACAGCTGAGTGCGATCAGCCAATGTGGGGCGTAGACAAATGCATAAATTCTGTCATCTTATTCAGAAAGCTCCGGTAAATACACAGAGCCGAAACGCCTATGATCTGGGGCTGCTTTTGGCGAGGGGAGCCTTGCGAACGACGAACATTCGGAGCCGTCTTGAGTGGTCGGGCATACTCAGACTGAGGTGCTCGGCCTATCTCAAGAGCGCTGGCCATTATCTAATCAAAATCAATTCTAACCCGACGACGGCCAAAGACCGAAAATTTGCCTGCATTTTTTTTTTAGTTGTAATGCACCACAATTGGCGTGGAATGAATTATCAATATCATAGCATTCTTAGCATTATCTATCGTAGCATAAGCGTAGCAAGAAAGGAGAAATAGATGCACCGATATTTCGGCTACATGTTTTTATCAAAACAAATATAAGAATATGAAGGTACCGAAACTCATTTCGTATCAATACAGGTATGTACCCAAAATATCAATATATCTGTCTTTCCTTTTTCCTGATTATTCTACGAGGACTAGGGCTAACAGTACTGTCTTATCCATACGCATAATGTTCCTTGCAAATGCACGTAGCAACTTGCGTGATAGAAATTATTCGTTACGTTCCGACTTTGTCAATCCCTTATCGAAGAGCAGGTGTTTTACACCAGATCCTCACAAGATCCATGTCAAGGGATAGGGCTCAAAGCTACAGTGGGCCCTGACCAACACAAGCAACCCTGTGCTATTTCGGTTAAGTTTTTGCCCCTTTTCAGCAAATGTTCTTCTGACCGACTCGGGACGCCTTGTTGACACAAAACAGCTGTTAGACAATGTGAGCTCCTAACTGTAACAGAGCCCCTTATTATTGCAGGGACCGCGACCAGTGCAAATCGTGCGCCCCGGTCTCGTCCCTTCTTGGGAAATTGGCCTACGGAGCTGAGGCCAACACAGAGACGACTGTTCGGTGTGAGAGGTCTGGCGGAAATAGCGGCCTGTATTGTCCCTGGGGTTTTCAATCAATGTAGGAGGCGTTCTGACTGACATTTCAGGTCATAGCCCTACGGACTGAGATCATGGCTCTGCGGGCTGGGATTCAGCCCCCCCATCGGGCCCTTGATCGTCGGTCTCGAAAGACCCATCGGGTTCCTGTTCGGGCTCCTTGAATACTGCGCCTGACTGACTTGGGCCCCAGGACCCCTGTTAGGCACTGTAGGCCCCTCATTGACTCAAGGGCCCCGACCAATGCAAATCGCAGACCCCAGCTTTGTCCCTGCTTTTTGGAAATGGGCCCTCAGGCCCACACCGACATGGAGCCGACTTTTCGGTACTGATGGTGCCAGACCAACATAGTTACCTTTATTGACTCAGGGGATCCCCAATCGGCGCAAAGGGTCCTCTGACTAGTATTTGAGGTCCCGGCCGGCAGGGCTGTCTGAGACTCCCATTACCACGTCCGACCAGCTCTTCGGGACCTTTAAGTCAGGACCATTTAATCAGGCCCAGAATCTTCGGTCCAGAGGAGCTGGGAAAGCTCCTCAGGACAAAAGGGGTGGGGCATGTGCCTTCTGTGCCCGCTGCCTGCGCCCCTGGACGAAAGTATCGTCTTCATGCGCCTGTCAGTCACTTTGCTCGTTAGCTAGTGTTAGCATATTCCGGTTGAGATACAGCCGTAGCAAGTTTCCTTACATCTATCGCAGCTGAAAGAAAATATGGGTGTGCCAACTGGACAACTTCCAGTGCAGCTACGAAATAAATTTTCTGTAGGACTGGTCGTACCACTCTCATATCTTTAACCGGTTATTGCATGAAGGATGCGTGCCATCGGTGTGGAAGAGAGCGACAATCACCCCTGTGCCAAAGAAAACATCGCCCAAGTTAACAAAGATCTGTGACCGCTAAGCCTCACACCGCCTTTTAGCGAGGTTTTGGAAAGAATTATTGTTTCACAAATGCTGGCGGATATAAAACCAAGCATAGAGACGCACCAGCACGGAAATATGAAAGGTGCCTGAACTTCACATTATCTAATTAGGTTGTTGCATTACTTCATGACGAAGTTAGACGAAACAGACCAATTATTTTCTGTGGAAATGTATAATTTTAAGAAGGAATTTTACCTCATTGATCACACAACGGTTACAAGGACATGCTCGTAATGGGACTTCGCTCCGGGTATGCTAAACTCATTCCTGCAGGACCGACAGCAACGGGTCAAAATACCAGATGGAGCTATGACTCGGAGGACTTAGGAGGTGACTGTCTGTTTTAGGCTGTCGCTCGTGGGGATGAGAGATGGACAAAAGATAGTGCGTTGTCTAGGCATATTCCAACAAGCTCTGACAAAAGCTGACACTGTTATTTTAGTAGCAGGACATGTAGTTGTGTGTGTGTGTATATATATATATATATATATATATATATATATATATATATATATATATATATATACACATATATATATATACATATATATATATATATATATATATATATATATATATATATATATACATGCATATATATGTATCTATATATATATATATATATATATATATATATATTATATCGTGTATGTATATTATACATACGCATGTACATATCCAGTTAAAAATGCTAAAATTCCGAGAAGACGCCTTTCAAGTCCCACTCGAACAGGCATCTGTCTGGACACGCAGTTCTTGGAATATCTTGTTTTTAACTTCCAAGTATCTAGTCGTTTTCAGGACTCCATAGCACTGAAGACGGTCGAAGAGTAGACTGGCCGGAACGTAGAGTAGCTAACACACCAGACGGGGACCGTAGTTTGAACAATTGCCCGGGGGGGGGGGGGGCGGTAGTGAAACGGTTAATGCGTATGTTAACCACTGCGCGTCTGGGCAACCAGAGGTGCAGGGTTCGATTCCCCGCGGTGCCCACCCTTCCCGCCAGGGTGAGAGGCAGGCGGCGCCATATAGTCTCAGCAGCTCGGTGCGTCGTAAAACCTCAGTGACACACACGGAACAATCACTTCATCCGTTACCAAGTCGTCCTTGCCCTGTTCGTTGCTAGTGACCTGACCTGAGCGTTCCACCTCTTTACAACAGTGGCATGATCTGACCTAGCGCGAAGCGTGGACGGCGATAGTCAGGGAAAAACGGGTCGAGTGTTTTATTACACAAATTTGTCTGCTACATCTTACGTTTTCGTTTTCTCCCTCTATCAGCATCAAGTTAACAGCATCAACGTGGATTGCTGAAAAAGCATTAGTTCACATGAAGCCTTGACATGAGCGTTCACATAAAAGAGCAGTCAGAGCAAGCCGCTCGTTGCGCTCCGACTTGCGTTTGACCACCGCCGTTCCGTTCGGCCGCCGACTACCGTCGACGTTATGGGCGACATAATGAAGCGATGGAATCACCAAATGACTACGTCATATGTACGGCATTGAGATAAGCGAATGCGCGCAAGACACCCAGCCCGGCTCCCGCATCCCCCCCCCCCCCCCCCCCTCGCGGATCGCCAGCGTGCACCCACTCACTGGCGTCTCTGGGCGAGAGTCTGTGAGCCGGGCCGGTCCGCGCAGGCGCCCGGGCCGGCCAGCCGATCCCCCAGCAGCAAGAGATGCCATTGGCTGCTGCTGGCTCGCCAGCTGACCGTAGGGGCGCGCTCAGGCGCAACGACATGGGGGCGCCACGCGTACCACCATTGACCGTCTTATCACCGGACATCGCCGTATCATCGCATGGCCGGTGTCTCTGAGCACACTGAAGGTCGGTTGTTTTTCAGGGTAGCAACTTATAAAAGAGGATGGAGGTGTGGCAGAGTACGGGAGTCGTGAGGCAGGACAATCGCCGCCTCTGAGTCACACGGGACGCGAGAAATCACGCAGGCCCGCTCATTGCCTCGGTCGCTGGTCCCGCAGCCGAGGAACAGCGCTGCGCAATAAGAGGTGCGCACCGCCGGCGGTGCAGTGCTTCTTCCCATCGCAAGCTCACCCATCAGTGAAGACCAGATCGAGAGCTATTACGCGTTTTGTCCGGACGACCTCGGGTGAGTACATGGGAGCGTAGACATCAATAAACTGAGGCTGTACGCAAGCCAAAGCGTGCCCAAAACACACTAAGGATGGGGTTTTCAAATTTGCGCTGCGGTCGCGAAGAGGGATTTTCATGATCTCTTAAGCTGGCTACACTACGCATGGTGGTGTACAACGTGGTGTCTGTACTACGGTGGCGCTGAAGAGAGGTACATGTGGCGACACCTGTATGACGGTATCGCCGAAGAGAGAACCTCGGCCATGAAGTGTGCTGGTGATGGAACAGCACGAGCGGACGTTGAGATCTTGCATCTTCAGCCAACGCACCGCTCCAGCCGACACGGTGAAGTACTATGCTGCACCAATTGGCCATATCAGCGCATCGTGGCACAGTGCTACGTTCACTTGCCCCGCCTGCTTCTCGGCATCGGTGTGCGGTCCCAGAAGGGTTCGGTGAACGATCACGGCAGAGCGACCACGACACAGCGTACAGGGAGGGGAGAGATGTGCTCATTGCACCTGTACATTATCTCTTGGACCTCGTTCCAGCGTTACGCGAATTTAACAAGCCGCCTGTTACTGATAAACACATACCCGATTTAGAACTTGCATTAACACGAGCCCGTTTGGCCCGTTGGATAACATTCGCTCGGGTGGGCGGTCAATATGACCCCGCTGAGATTTCAATAACTAATTGGACTAGAGTCACCAAATTCATAGGGTGTATTGGCCTGCACGTGAACCCACGTACGTCAAAGTTTGATGTTCCTAGGTCATGACCTCCGGGTCAAGTCAGGTTGAACAAGGTCAAATCCCAAGTTGGTCTTCAGCATGTCCCCAGAACCTAGATACCTGTTCTAAGCAAGAGGTCACATGCCTATTAAGGTCGGTGACCTTGTTTGGCCTTTCGAAGGTCATTGTGACCAAAATCATAGAGGACTGTTGAGTTTTGCATTTGAATTAGTGACAAAAATTACGCTAGGCGGTATGTTCATGAAACGAAATGCTCACTTCGGTCATTTATGTCAGTGACCTGTTCTGAACCTTAGGATGTTCATGGAAGATGTCTTATAAGGTTTCTGTTATCAATAAATTCGAAATGAGCACCAGAAACTACCCTATTCAGGAAGCCCCAGAATAGTTAAATAGGTTGATCTTGACCTTGGCCTGACCTTCATAACTGACGCTAGGTCAATGGGATTTGGTCATTCAGTTGTTGCGTTGCTTAAGAAAGCATCTCAGAGATGTATGGCTTCGTCTAACACCGTTGCTCCATCAGATTGAACGATTCCCTAAAAATTGGCTTCACTAGACCCATGGTCTGATTTGACCTGCCGTAGGTCATCGACCTTACAAGGCAAATCTAATTTGTTGATACCAAACAATACGCTATTCGATTATATACAGCTCTGCAAAATTTGGGGCGGCTACGCAACCCCGTTCGGAAACCATTTCAAAAAAATCTCGGGGAGTTCAATTTAATCTCCCCCCCATCTCCACCCGAGCGCGTGTTAAGTAACAAACAATAACAAACGCACCTTTGGCATCATTTAAAACACAGTGCGCAGAAAGTTGTGTTACTCTGAAGGCATCACCGTCCCCCACCCTAAAAAGGCTGCAGAGTCCTACCCTTTCAGACTTCATTGGCTCGTGGTGGAATGAAACGGGCATTTCCATCGCGCATGCGCACACCCAGCCTTTGCGCCTGGAACAGCTGACCTAGAGCTTCTCCATCGCTGGGCGGCCGGCCTCGGCTCCCCGCACCAAAGCGGTCGGCAGACGACACCGCGGCCCGGCGTCATGCCTCCAAATGAGCTTGTCAGTCGCGCCTCTTGTAGCTGGGCCCGCTCCATGCACGGTGGACGGCGCGCGTCTCCCGTTCTGATCGCCCCGCCCATGCCTACCGCGCGGCTACGTGAGCGATGCACTACGACGGATGAAAATCTTACCACCAGCATCGTTCTTCAGCAGACCTTTTTGGGCACACGTTGGGAATCAGGAGTGGCGTTGGCTGCGGGCGATACAACTTGCTGTGACGCCATCACCGGCAAAAAAAAAAACACGGCAAGAGTTTGTGGCCATGTGGCACTGTTGTGCACCCACCTGCAGAACATTTCTGTGCATTGTTCTGTGACGTCAAGGCAGAACTGCGGCTGGATGCTGAGCATCCTTCAGTGACCCAGCTGATATTTATGACACTGATGTACTTGTCACTAAACCGGGCGTTTGATATACGCGTTGTTTCGATGTGAAGAAGTGTGTGAACTATGCTACAAAGCCGGGTGTTTCTGTTTGTTGTAGCGTCTGAGTTCTCTGGACACACATTGGACGGCGTCACTGCATTTCTGCGAACTTTTTGAAAATGCATGCAGAGTATTTATAAGCTTTCAGCACAGTCAAGTGTTCGCCCACCAGCGATGTACTCGGTGCAACTGCAATCTGACTGAGAGCATATGATAATTGTTTGTAACGTTCTTTTTTGCAGGATGAGCACCCCAGATAAAAAGGCATTCCCATACAAGATAATTCCTTTGGATAGCGAAACACAAAAGGCTATCGCGCGAGATTTCGCCGGCTATCCCAATGGACTGGCTTCAGTTAACCACTGGGGCTTCAAGCTGTCTGCCACGTCCAGTCCGAAAGAAATAGAAAACCTCTACAACTACCCAAGGAAGGCCGGGGATGTCTGGGTAGTAACACCTCCGAAGTGTGGCACAACCTGGACCCAAGAGATGGTGTGGCTCATCGCCAATGACTTAGATTACGATGGGGCCAAGACGACCCTGTCTGAGAGGTAAGGTTACACCAGACACGGTGTTCATGGCTGCCAAACGATCCATTTGCCAGCCAAAGCCTCTGAACATAATTGTCACATGACATCACTCCGCCTACAAATTTTAGTCCCGACATTGCCTCCACAAAAATCGCGGCCCTCGTGATACACTGCGCGATCTGCATTCACAGGTGGGATTTTCTTAGGACTGGTGCGTTGACGGACGGAGAAAAATATCCTGATCTGAAGACTACTCGGAGATCAGATGCCGCCTGCCAACAGTCAAGCGACAGCTCCCACTGCGCCCAGCCACGCTTCGTCAAAACGCACTGGCCTCTGTCCATGATCCATCCGCGCGTGTTGAACGTCTGCAAGGTGGTGTACGTGGCCAGGAATCCCAAGGACGTCTGCGTCTCCTTCTTCCACCACTGCAGACTCATGACACACGTCGACTTCCTTGGAGATATGCAGGTAAGGTATCAACTAAAATACAGGACGCTGGAGACTACAGGGTTTAGTTGACATATACTTGAAAATATTTAACGCGCTCTTCGAATTTTTTCGTCCACTACCTGTTTTCACATGCAACGTTATGGAAGCACAGCTTTGAACTGTCGTTTCAGATGTTCGTGAAGTATTTCATGGAGGGCCTCATCGTGGCAACTCCAGTCATGGAGCACATGGTAGAGGCATGGAATGTGCGTCACCACCCCAACATCTGCTTCATCTTTTTTGAAGACATGAAACGTGATCTCCAATCAGAAATCCGCAGGGTAGCCGAGTTTCTGGGCAAGTCACTCTCGTGTGAGCAAGTAGATGAGCTGGCAGAGCACCTTCATTTTGATAACTTCAAAAAGAACCCTTACGTCAACAAGGAAGAAGGAAAGACGGCGGGCGACTTCCATGCAGATCGGGGCGACTTCATAAGAAAGGGAAAAATCGGTGACTGGAAGAACCATTTCACGCCAGAGATGAGTGAGAAGTTCGACAAGTGGATGGCAGAGAAGTTAAAGGGCACTGATCTTTCATTCACCATGGAGGATGCGTGAAACAGGATTGATGTAGGACGTCACATCAGTGCGTGATCATTGGTTGTCCAGGACTTTAAAGTTCGCCGCTGGTTTTGTTCACCCTGTCGTGCTATGATGCGGAGCGAAACTGAAATTGAATTCAGGTAGGTCTGAATACGAATTGGAGGTTTTCAACCTTTGGAGCTATGAAAACTGAGACGGACATTGGTCAGAAATCCAGACGTGACCGCATGTTTGAGGCCGTCGCTTGTGAGGAGGGAAAGATGGGAGAAAATACGGGACGGTGTGTAGGCACATTCGAACAAGATCTGACGGCGGGTGACTGATTTTTTAGAGAACAGCACAGGTAGTTATATACATAATATATATATATATATATATATATATATATATGTGTGTGTGTGTGTATGTGTGGGTGTGTGTTGTGTGTGTGTGTGTGTGTGTGTGTGTGTGTGTGTGGTGTGTGTGTGTGTGTGTGTGTGTGTGTGTGTGTGTGTGTGTGTGTGTGTGTGTGTGTGTGTGTGTGTGTGTGTGTGTGTGTGTGTGTGTGTGTGTGTGTGTGTGTGTGTGTGTGTGTGTGTGTGTGTGTGTGCATGTGCGTGTGCGTGAAGGCGATCATAAATTACTAACATTCTGAAAGACAAGTTTCAGTGTCATTCGAATTGACATCTGTCTGTACACATTTTCTTGGAGCTTCCCCGTTTTTTAACTTCCAAGCATCATTTAGTCGTACTAAAGACTCGGTAGCACTGACGGCGGCTGGAACGCAAACTGGCCAAAACGCTGTGTACAAACACACCGGACGAGGATCCTAGTGCGAACAATTAAGCCATGCGTCACACAAGTTGTCCTTGCTCTGCTGATCGTTGGGACCTGACATAATCCCTCATACTTTTTACTGATCGGTCCCGGCGTGGATAGCACCAGACCCGCCTCCCATCGAGCCCGAGTCTGGTACTTCCAGATCAAATGAGGTCGTGTGGCTAAGTTCACAGCATGTTTAGTGATAGCATTGTGCAAACAGCAAAATGCGCATCTTAGATGCAAGGGTGCAGCTTCCTGTTCCATTCGGGCCCGACCGATGTCTTAGAGGTAAGTGGGCGAAATCCGAGGAGACGTCCATTTTGCGAAGTGTTTTGAGAGGGAGTGAAGCCACTTTTCTGTGCTGAGCCCTGCCTAACCTATGTAATGAAGCTCCACCACTTTGTAGATCGTTCTCGGACTTCACTAACCATTCGCCACTAACATTAGGTAGATCTGAAAGTGGCATGATCTGACGTAGCGCAAAGCGTGAACGGTGAAAGTTAGGGAAAGCAGGTCGAGTGCTTGATTACACAGAATTGTCCATTACGCTCTAGGTGTTTGTTTTCTCCCTCTATCAGTGTCAATTAAAGACATCGCCGTGGATTTATGAAAAGACCATTAGTTCACATTAAGCCTTGACATGAGCGTTCACATAAAAGAGCAGTCAGAGCAAGCCGCTCGTTGCGTTCCGACTCGCGTTTGGCTACCGCCCGCCCGTTCGGCCGCCGACTGCCGTTGACGTCATGGGCGACTTGGAAGAAGCGATCAGGTCGCCAAATTGGTTAAGCCATTGAGCTCATATCAAGAAACATTGTAAGACCCAGCCCGGGTCTTACACCTCCCGCCACCCCCCCCCCCCCCCCCGCCAATCGCAAGGACGCACCTAGGTACTGGAGGACAAGAATCTGCGAGCTGGGTCGCTCCACGCAGGCGCCCGTGAGCCCAGGGGTGGTAAAAATGCTTTTTGGTGTCGCCGGCCGAATTTTCTGCTAACAAAATTGTCGCCGGCACGGTAACGCGATAATATGTGACAAGAAATGACAATGGCGTTTACGCCTAGCAGCTTAATCATAAATCGGCGTATCACCTTAAGCCTCTTTTATCAACACAACTCGCAATATCATGCACACAACCGACACGTCCATTTATAAAATAGCGCTCGAGCAATGCTGGGATATCTACTACTGCGAAGAATGCAAGCACACCAGCCCCAAACAATGGAGTATTTTAATCACAAAATCGTCAGCAGTAAAACAAGATACGGCGGGTCGTCCTTCACACTCCTGACTTGCCGTGGTCTTGCGCTAAAGTTTGATCTATGGCTGAATTTGCCATCCTCGAACGCGGAAAAAAACGGCGCAGGACCTCGGCAGCCAGAGCAGCTGAGCGCATGACAAAATTCTAGCTGGTGGTAGGTAACACTGAAGGATGACGTAAACCATGCGGGCCTCCCCAAGGCCATGTTTCCCAATGAAAACCACGTGAGCACTTCGAGCCAGACCGCAACCATCATCATATTCTCCACCATACCATGGGCATGCTCTAAGCCCTGCACTTGTGTTGCCTGGTGGGTGACCTTCGATGCCCCACAGCAATCAGTACATTCAGGTTTAAAGTGAGTCTCTAGGCTGCTTGAAAAGCAAGGAGCAATATATTAAGTTTCAGGATGGGCTCAGATTGAGGTGAAAGCGACTGCACATGTGCTGAGCAAAAGGCAGTGGGGGCATGCTAGAAGAATTGTGCATCGGGGTTAGAGAAAAGGAGATCACAGAACTGTTCGAGGGAATGCCGGTCGTTTGATATTCTTGTTATGCTGAGCAAGACACAAAAGATAAAGAACAACACCAAAAAAGAATCATTTACAGCTGTAGCCCATCTTCGGAAGACTGTTACATGTTTTGACGAACCGAGTGCATCTGAAATTCCGGACCTAGGCTTAATAATTATCCGTCAAACAATGACATGACATGTATTTTCACCAACACGACACGAACCAGCTATCGCCTATCCTAGCCAACTCTTTCACCCTTTGTATACTGAAGCTCACGCAAGTATACAGAGGGTCATGCGGATATAAAGGGCTTTGAGCTCCTCATGAGACCCTGAGAGGACCTGGGGCTCTGGGAACTCAGGGATCGTCTGAGTAACTCAGGGGCTCTTGAGTGGCGCGGTGACGGTCCTTCAGTAGCCTGAAAAGCCCTTGAGCACTTATCGTCCCCCTAAAGCAGGTGTCCAAATGAGTCGCTTAATTATAGATATATGCTTTCGCGACCAAATGCGTCACCTAAGCGGGGAGAGGGGGTAACAGCAACCAAGTTAGGTATCTGTGGTATATGTCATAAAATACAGAATTCTAAGGAGTGCAAATTACCTGCAATCAAAACAAAGCAGAATAAATATGCTGATTTGGGGGGGGGGGGTGATGCCCATGGCTCGCTAACCACCACCCCCTTATCATGTATGGAAACCGACACCCCTGGCATATGTCACAAGCAGATTAACTATAGTGTATTCTACTTCCGGTGTGGGCTGGTTTTAACGTAGTCAGTCCTCCCTTCCAACCTGCACTTAATATAGATAGTGATAATGTTCAGGGTGCCATCAAAAAAGTGTCACCTCAATGTTTCACTTGAAAATAATAGTGAATATCCTGTAGTTTTACCCTTGCAATTGTGATGCCCATAGGTACAAATAAATTATGCATAAAAGTGGGCGCCTGAGAATGATTCATTTCCAGCTTTTCATGTTGCAAAAGGGGTGCTATCATCAGCAAATGACCAAAATTGCTCTGAGAGGCAGACGCCAAGTTTTTTACTGAACTCCTTAACAATAGGACAAGAATCCCACAAAACCACTTCATATCTGAAAGTAAACGTCTTGGTTAAGAGGAGATGGCAATGAAACCTTCAACACCCCCTCCACATCGCCTATATTTTCTCAAACTCCTTGCTCCTCACCCCTCACTGCCTCCTCACTGCTGACATCGTTGGTTATTATATCAGTTTCCAGCAACCAAGATTAACATTGAAAAAGTACAACTGTGAATCACCCATTTCAATGGTAACAAAACATAACTAAGATGATTGCGTTTCAACCAGAGACATATAACTGTGAATTCCCCATTTCAATGGTAACAAAACATAAATAAGATGATCGCGTTTCAACGAGAGATATAGTTTTCCAAGATAATTGGGGGGGGGGGATGTCTGAACTGAATCGGAGCTAGATACGCACGCTGATTTGGAGTTATATTGGACTGGTAACTATGCTCAACTAGGAACTACGCAACAATGGCTTAAATTGGCACTTCAGCACTCTTCTCACCTCCTGCCATTCCCTTCCCTACGGAGTGTCGTCAGCCCCCAGCACCGAACCCACGAACTCTTAAAAGGGAGGAAAGCCCGGTGGTTCAGACTGCTACAGTGAGTCAACAGCCTGTTCTGTCTTGAAAAGTCAGTCTGAATAATCACAGGTCAATTTCCACATTGGTTTGATCGTCTCGCCGACCCTCCGTGAGCTGTCAAGCAATTAAGTCAATAATGCCCCCCCCCCCTGCAAGAAAAAAATAACCCAAGATGGGCACTGACGAAACCGCAATGCGAATGTCGCTTGCAAAGTTCCAGCGCATTTTGCAAGTCCTCGCCAACCTCACGAATCTCAGTTCTATCGCAACGAGGTGGGGTCAAAAAGCCGACATAGGACGCAGACACGTATGTTTTCGGAAACGGCTCGTCCGATCGCCTTGAATCCTTCACCAATCGATTCCGTGCATGAGGTGAGTCATGGGGAGGCAATATTGAGACCTCACTTGAGATCAGACACCTCGAAAACGCAAAGCGAAAATTTCACATGTAAATGTAGACAACTCAGATTTCAGAGCCTACCGGACCATTTTGCATTTTTGTCAATTTGGTCGATTTGGAACCTTCACCACTGGATCCCCATGCCTGATTCCTTCCTGCAGTTCCAAATTTGGTGACTCTGGGCCAGTTCAAAAGTCGTCAAATTTAGAAGTCCAAAAATCTTGCTTGCAGACAAGTTATGTTTCGCAACCTGTGAACCTGGGTTGGGTCAAAAGGCGTTAAGTTTCGCAAAGTCCAAAAATTTTGCTTACCGACAACTTACAGCTCTGAATCTACCACGCCGATAGCCGCCAAACCCTATCACTCAGCACGCCAGTTATCTGAATTATCTGTTGAAGCCGCAAGTATGGTGCCGTTTATAATTGAGCATTTTCCTTTATGTTTGTTT